TGGCTTGTCGTCCGAGAATTTTATTCTTAGACACGGCCGCGTGACAATAGAACTTTATTACTTGATTTTAAAACGTAATGAAAGTGATGCGGCCGATTGATGCTTCTAAAGAAGAATGTAATTGAATTGATTTAGATCTCTTCAAATATACATATTTTGCGAGGACGGATAAAGATCAAGTTTTCTCGCGCAAGACATAAAATTACAGTTCTCACACTTATGTTTTCCCGAGATACTACTATGATATATCGGGAATATATCTATATAAAATGATATCTATTTTGCGCCATGCAATTTATATTTTATATTATGTCAGAGTTGCCACAGATTTGGAAAAACAGGAAAACCGGGAAAAATCAGGAAAATTGATATTGGTTATGGAAAATCGGGAAAAGTCAGGGGAAAATGTAAAAAAAGTCTGGAATTTTGAAATTTGTTCACAATTTCCTTAAACTGTTCCTATTACAGATAATTTGTTATAATTTTTTAATATTATATCTGACGTTTATAATGAAATACGTTCAAAACTTGCACACTTTTTTTGCAAACGATTTTAATAAAATAATTAAAATTTATATTTTATTCAATATTTTTCTTTGATCGCTCTCTTTCGTATAATTGCATTCTTTTTTTCAATAACTAATTTATTTTTTGTTGGCTTGAATTTGAACTCAAAATTTTAGTGCTACTGAATCTTTTTTGCATTATTTTTAATATGGGCTAACTTTCCTACAACTTTTGACTTGAAATATGTTAAAATTTATATATTTTATATTAGAAAGTTTTCCATTTTCAAAACCTGTATGGAAATTTGGGAATCCTAGAAAAATCAGGGGATTTAAAAATTTATTTTCTGTGGCAACCATGTGTGTGTGTGTGTGTGTGTATTTGTGTGTTGTGTGTGTTTGTATGTGTAATATGAGAATTAAATAAGCTGTTTTCTACCAATGTAGATTAATTTTAATTCTACCTTTAATTTATTCTTTAGTTTTTTTAAATTTAGAACTAGGAAAAGATAAAAGTAAGTTAAATTGAGATTATATAAAATATATATAAAAAGATAAAAATAAATTCAACAATTTAAAGCATGCTAATCGCCGGACTGAGTGTCAGCTGAGTTCTGTGATGATTAAGAATCAATATACACATATACGCGAGTTCATGACAAATAAAATCTTGTTAGCATCATATTTAGATTCTTATTTATCGACTTTCCCTCGTGTCATATAAACTTTTTAAATAATAAAAAGTCATTAAAAATTAATCTCAATTACTCTAAATAGTATTACAAAATTCATTAATGTCAATTACTCTTAATATTACGGAATCGATATTTCGAATTTTTCATTTTTCGAATAAATTGCCGAGTTTAAGATAATATTGACGCTGAAATAGCAATACAATTTAATAATACAATTTTATAGTTTATAGATTAAAATGTTTTATTTTAATTATTTTTTAAAAACATTTGTTTCTTATTGAAATGATTTTGATCGAAATTCTACATTATCGTGATACTTTTAAATACAATATAAAATATTTAATTTTTTCAGTGTATATTGCTGTCCGACATGACAGAAATTAATAAGATTAAAGGCGCACGATATAATATTGCAATAGATGCACAATCAGTTCCACCGAATGCTTCAGTAACGATCGAAAACCTGTTGCCGCATTTCTTTTGTCACGACAGCATTGTGTTCTCGAGTATATATACACATATACTCGTGCTTGTTGAAAAACTGCTTGTTGATTTGCGAGGCAAAATCAACATTCTTTATGTTGCGCATAATCGCGTCTTTCATTATCGGTATTCTACATGTGAAATTTTAGATATTTAAATTTGATATATGTAAAGTCAAGAATTACCAATTCATCAAAATTTATCTGCTTCTAAATTTAAATGTCTCAGATTGTAAAAAATGAGGAATTTACTCGTAGATTTCTTGAAACCTTGGGTATTTAACATAGCAGGATTATAAAACCAAGATTCTTTGAAAATTCGAACGTTGAAAAAAATATCTGGTTGAATTAATTAGCATTCTAATTGAAAATGAATAAATTCGAATTTTCTGATAAAATTTCTGATTACTAGAATTTTAATTGATATAACCGAAATTTTGATCGATATATATTCAGAATTATTTGATTTATCCAGTTTCAACCAGACATTTTTCTCGGTAAAATCTTCAAACTACCATCTAATCAAAGAATGACATAAAAGTTGTTTCAAAATATCAATATAAAAATTAATTTTTCTTTGATTTTCATTACATATAAAATATATTTGTATATTTATTGTATTTTTATAATTTATAACGTAGTACATTTTTCACTTGTCAATTATTTTCTATCTCGAATTATTTTTTGCAACTTTTTTATATAA